AAAAACAGTTGCAGTCCAAAGAGGGGAAAGGAAATAAGGAAATCAGGAGCTGGAAATTTCCTTAATAGTAGATGAGTTTAAGCCTTCATCCTTTTGTTCCTTTTTCCCACCTTAGAACTAYCTTTTATCCCTCTGCTGCTTCCCCATATTGTTTGGGGTTTAGGTTTGGGGACCAAGTGCCTGGGACAACACTGACTGTCTCGGACAATCAGAGCCAATTTCTCTGTTCATGACTCTGAGAATAAGCAAGTATGTCTCAGAACACGAAAAAAAAATAAAGCCAGAACCTAGACATATGATGAAACCTAGTACATGCTAAGTTATTGATCTGTTGATTTGTCATCACACTGCCTCCTGGACGTTGATGTTACACTCTTCACCTGAATGTCCATTTTGTTTGAAATCCAGTGAAGTGGAATTAAACAGCAAAATGTCATTTAAATACTTTTTACTCTGGCAAATGATATCCTTGTAATATAACTCAAAAACAAAAATCAAAACAAACAACAACGACAACAAAAACTGTCTTTGAAGTTAGAAGCCTGAGGATAAGGCCCAGTGTTGTCTCTGTGTGACAGATCAGGTACTTAATCTCTCTAAGCATGAGTCCACTGTTTGTCTGAAAGGTGATTTTTTAAAATATTTTTTTATTTGTCAACGAACTTTTACTTTATTTATTGAGTTATTTATATGTGGTACTGACAATCGAACCCAGTGCCTCATACGCAGTAGGCAAATGCTCTACACTGAGCTACGACCCCAGCCCAGGGATGATCTTTACTTGCTTCACAGAAAGCTGTTCTTTCATTGTCTCATTGGTGCAACAGCCTGGGTGATGAGGAGCACACTCAKTCTCTTCCTACCCTATAATCATCTGAGCCTGAGCTTTTCAAATCAATAAATCCAAAGATCCTCAMATATCTCTCCAGCATAGATAAATAACCCAACTCCATAGAAAAGCACACTTAACCAGTCTGTCTGGCATGTCATAGTCCAAAGATAATTTTAATATGGAATGTATACTACTTGCTGTATTTAGATTTTGGAGTTTGGGGGTTTTTTGTTTGTTTTTTGCATGCCCTTCTAATTTTTTTTTTCTTTTGAACAAAATAACAAGTAAAAATTGCATATTTTTTTGCCTCCAAACCCATGTACCAGAATTGACCATTATTAGCAGTGTGCTCTGTGTTTTCAGCTCTCGATCGAATTCACCTTGCTCTGCTGAATATATATAGCTAGCCTCCTCCATCCTTGGGCCATAATTGCTTAACTTGAAATTGCAAGGCACAAATTCATGCTGTCAGGTATGCTAGGAACACATTCAAATTTGGACTGTTCTTGCACCCTTCTCTGGCTGGAGTTGTTTTTCTTTTTTTCTTTTTAACTTGCCTTGAGTCCTTCTTTCTGTCTTTGAAAGGATATTACTGCCTGCATTTGTTATCTTTCTCCATTTAGCTGAACTCCTGGCAATCTATGTCCACTMCATGCTTCTGTGCTCCTGGAGAGATTTTTAAGCCACTTGTTTTTTTTTTAAGCCACTGAGCTGATGGCTGCTTCCTTCAAAAAGCAATTTCTTTTCCCTGCTTGGGTATCTTGTTCATTATTCTTTCTTTCCTCTTATACTGTCCTCCCCTCCCCCAGAAATCCATCTCTTTTGTGTGTCTACCCTCTCCTGGAGACCTCTCCCACTCCTTTCTTCTCTTCCAGGTCCCATGTAACTTGCCAGCCTCATTGAATCAACAGAACAACGTTTGGATTCCTTTTCATTCACTGCCTTAGAATCCGACTCCTGTGGGCGCATTTTCTTCCATTGTGACATACTTTTAGGCCACTCAAGTCCACCTGCTCAAAATGATCTCTCATCAAGCAATTTTCCAGACTGTAAAACACACACTCAATTTCCAATCTCTCCTATTTTACATCTGTTTGTCTCTAACAGCAGCTGGAAGCCTCCTCCCCAAATGGAAAGTTCTGGTAAAAAGTTTATGGCTCACCTTGAAAAAAAGAGAGAACGACCTCTACGGAGACTCATAGTCTCTGGAGGGCAAGGCAGGATCATTATGAGATTTTGGAGTAGGGGGACCAATGGTTCYAGTTTGTCTAGGACAGAGAATTCCAGTTTGACCAGAACACAGGACTTTCAGTTTTAAAATTAGTTCAAAATTTAAAGATTGGCTTAAGGAGAGTCTTTCCATGCAGGGTCTWGGTTGGGGAAGGGGTGATTAAATAGTTTAGGATTAGTGGGGGCACAGCAAGGTGAGGATTTTGAAGTAGGGGGTTCCCAGAGTCTTGGGAAGCCAATGGTTGATTCTTTTGGTTGAAACCCTGATGAGTCTTTCTTTTAAGAAGTTCCTATACTGAACAATAAAGTTATGATAATTAAGAAAATGAATCAGTAAGGTTATATTACTATAGACAGTAAGCTATGTGTATAGGGAGGAGGGGGAGTAGATGTTTTCTGTTCTCAGAATTAGTTTCATCTTCTTTCCCAAGGCCTGTTTCATATTCAGTGTCCTTAGTTGAAATACCTAACCTAGCAGGGTATTTAAAAAAATTTTTTGGTAGAACATTGCAGCACTTTTATGACAAGACTTATATGTTATAGCTTTTGTTATACTTGTGAAAATAATGAGAAACCATTATTTACAGAAGACTTAAACTGTAGGAAAACTACATATCAAACCTTTTACAGATATTATTTAATCCTCATAAGAGCTCTTTGAAGGAGGTGGTGTTATTATATTATTATTCTTGATTTACTTTAAAAATTTTTGAGGGAGGGGGATACTGGAAATTGAACTCAGGGGCTCTTTACCACTGAGTTACATCCTCAGTTCTTTTCACTTTTTATCTTGAGAGAGGAGGTTGCTAAATTGCTGAGGATGGCCTTGAAYTTGTGATCCTCCTGCCTTAGCTTCTTGAGTCACTGGGATTATAGGCATGCACCACAGTGCCCTGCTTATCATCCCTGTTTTACAGATGAGGAAACAAGGYTAAAAGAAGGCAAGAACCTTGTCCAAAGTCATGCAGTCAGAAATGACAAAGCCAAGTTTCTAGCTCAGATCCATTTGACCCATTTGACTCAGTAAAAGGGGGACACTTCGGGTATTTGCTACAACGTGGATGAACCTCATAAACATCCTCTAAATGAAAGAAGAAAAACAGAAAAGACTACCTATGAGATGATTCTATGTATAGGAAATGTCCAGATAAAGCAAATTTAGAGAGAGAAAAAACAGCCAGTGGTTTCTAGGCATGAGGGAGGGAATGCAAATGGTTACTTTTGTCATTGAAAGAAATGWTTTACTGGATTGTGGTGATRGTTACACAATTCTGTAAATTAATTAAAAATTATTAAACTGTGTACCTACAGTGCATRAATGTTATGGAAAAGTTTTTCTTCAATAAAACTGCTTTTAAAATGGCACAGGTCAGATTCTATGTTTTCTGATTGGTACCCTCAATGACTAGATATAGGTCTCTTTAGGAACCAAGCCCCAGGATTGAAGTGGAGAAAATRTTATAAGCATTTGTGGATATATCATGAATATATCAGAATGAACCCCACTATTATGTATAACTATATTGCACTAATACATTTTTTTAAAAAAAGAATCAAGCCCCAGGAGCCAACCCAAAAGGAGAAAGGCTACAGGTTTTACTGAATTTTTATGTATTTTCCTATAAGCATAGGAAGTATCTTTGAGCTCTTTTATCCAGTCTACATATGTTGAATATGTTTAATTTTACTAGTGACAACCCATTTCTAACTTATTGGTTAGTGAGTTGCTTATTTCATTAATGCTGTGTTCTTGATCAGCATATATGTATGTATATACACATATGTATAAATCTAAGCATGTAAATTACAGACACATAAAACAGCACCACATACATCCTGGAGAGTCTTAAAATACTGACATCACAAAATAAACCCAAGTGAACTGCTCAGGCTCACTGCGTACCTTACGTCTGACATACCAATCGACAGAATCTGACTGCCCTTCTCACAGGGCTTCCATCCATCATGAAATTCACCTGGCCTCTCCCTTTAGTATTCATCACCTTGGCCAGGATTCTGGCTACTGTTAATCAGATAGATGTTTGTCCTCAATTTTTCACCAAACCATTGGAGAGGTTTTTCTTTTCTATCTAAATATATAGTTTGTAAAAATCCCTCTGTAGTAGTCAGAGTTATCTAGAGGAACAGAATCAACAGGAAGTTTGATTAAATAGGGGATTTATCAGGCTGGCTTACGTGACCAGAAGCTGGATAGTCCACAATGGCCATCCGCAGGCTGGAGAGCTGGAGGAACCAGTAGCTGCGGAATCCAAGAGGTTGAAGCCTCAGAACAAGAAGGATTAAAGGTGCTACAGTAGTCGGAAACTGAAGGCTTCTGGGGAATCACTGGCAGAGTCCACTTTGGAAGAGTGAAGAAGAGAGTCAGATATCCTCAGCCGATCACAGCAGCAATCAAGAACCCATTCAAGAAGAATCAAGCTGGTATTTGCGGCTGCTTCCTTGTTCTTCCTACTTTTATTCCATCCAATCCACCATCCTATTGGATGGTGCTGCCCATGCTTAAGGAGGGTCTCTGCTTTGGTTTGCTATCATACATGTCAATCATTCCTAGACACACCCTCACTGACATACCCAGAAGCCTCTTAATCATCAGCATCCTTAATCCAATGAAGTTGACAATTCAAGTTAACCACTGACACCCTCTGATACTRCCATTGAGAGAAAGGTAGTCCATAAGTGCAAACAGATGGAGACCAAGTCCATGAAGCAAGAGGGCTGAACAGCCTTTGTGTCCCTGTGAGAGCCTGGAGTGGTGTGATGGTGATGGGACTAATTTCTGAGAGCAACAGTCCTTGAACCACCAAATAGATGCATATTCTTCTTATGGACTTTCGTTAAAGCTGATTTGTGTTGTTTTCTCTTTGGTAAAAGCAGAAGTAAATGTATATGGTGACTGTTTTCCTTGTAACTTTTACAGAGAAATTCGAAACACCAGAAGCTTAACTTTCATAGAGCCTGATGCCCTGAGAGAGCTCCCCCTCCTCAAGTTCCTGTAAGTCCTAACTCCCTTCCTTTTCACGGTTTGTTGTTGTTGTTGTTGTTGTTGTTGTTTTGTTTTGTTTTGTTTTTTAGAATTTTAATGCTATTATCTTCCGGGAATCTCCCTAGGATCTTATACTATGAGGTCATCTTCATAATGTATGGTTTGRGTTGAATTGTTTCTTGTGACTTTCTTCCCACCCCTTCTCWTTAGGCAAGGTCTCAGGTGAAATAATTCACATGTTTAAAACCCACTGGAAGAATCAGTGCATAGTGCTGGGACCAGAGACCTGRTCCAAGAGATGTGAGGGAGTAAATGCTGTTACATATATGTAACCTTGACATATAGTATCACAGGAMAAAAGAAATTCCTGAGAGAAAAATGGTCAATTTTGTTTAGAAAAGGATATTAAAACAGTATTAGACTGGYTGCTACATAGAACACACACACAAAGTCACAGAGGATAAAATTTAGTCTCTTGAGGTTAGGGGACAAAAATGAAATGGAAAGGGACAACCACTTACTGCTTTGCKTTGACAATCCATTCTGAGCTGACTGTAAGCTCCATGAGGGAAGAGACCACAACATTTTTGTTCTCAGTTGTATCCTTATTGCCTAGCACAGAGTAGRTGCTCAATAAAAAATGCATTCAGTGGATTTGTATTCATGAGCTTAGGCCCTCTAGAAACTGGCTAGGAAAAGCTTCTTTCCTGCCTATATGCATTATAAAAATTAGAAAAATCTCTAAAAGGGACTAAACCGTAAACCCAGAAATAATCACTATTACCATTTCAGTTCATTTCCATCCAGGCTTTTGAAATTAAAGTGTACAYCCACAGATATTTTATGAGAGAAATCTTTAAGGATGAATAGAAGTTATCCAGGAAAAGAAGGAAGAGTAGATGATGTAGCAGCATGATAAAGGCACAGAGTCCTCCTTTTAAAGGAGGACTTGTTCAGGGTTTTGGAGAGAAGTCACAAGTTTCATTAATCTGGCATTTCCAGCCCTCTGCTTTGTGGCCTCCATTTGACTCTTTGGCCATCACCCCCACACACACATTCTTTTACATGAACCCCCATTGCAATTGAGCTAGTTGGTTTACTGTACTTCAAATACACCTCACCTCATGGGATATCATTTTTCTTCTTTGTTATCTGGAATCTTCCATTTGCTCATTTTTGGTTCCTGCCACCTCTTTAAATTCTATGCCTTCCACTAGAGAAGGAGTTGAGTCTGAATTTCCTTTTCAAGGTGCATCAGTGAGGGCCAGGGTTGTGGCTCAGTGGTAGAGTGCTCACCTAGCATGCATGAGGCACTGAGTTCGATCCTCAGCACCACATAAGTGTAAAATAAAGATATTGTGTCCACCTAAAACTTAAAAAATAAATAAATATTAAAACAAAAAAAAGGTGCATCAGTGAAACTAGTTGTTTGTTTTTCTCCCAGACCTTCTATAAAGATCTACTGGGTAGTGTCTAGGACTCTAGGATTCACCACATGCCTCAAACCTCACACAAAAAAACATTTCTACGTCCACTAGTTACATTCTAGTAACTGTAATAAACATTAAACCAACTAAGTCTGGGTGGCATCAGAACCTGAGTGCTTTTGTGCTCATGTTGTTTTAAGCACGTCTTTTAATCCTGACATTTTTTCCTAGGTGACACAAACTTTGGAAGGGGAAGACATTGACTTCGAAAATTTCCTTTATTTTCTGGACATTTTAAAAACAGTTCTAGTGCAAATGTACTCCTAGGATATTGCTGTAGGAAAGTCATTCTTTTTWAATATATTTTTTAGTTATAGATGGATACAATCTTTATTTTTATTTATTTATTTTTATGTGGTGCTGAGGATCGAACCCAGGACCTTACGCATGCGAGGCAAGTGCTCTACCACTGAGCTACAACTCCAGCCCAGGAAAATCATTCTTAGCAAAATAATAATACAATAAAACATTGAATTTGAAAGAGGAAGACTGGCTTGGTGTTGGGTAAACCTGTGTTCCTCTTCTATCTTACTCTTATCCCCCCATAATATACACACACATAATATCTTCCAATCAAAATAAGGAGATMTCTCTCTCTCTCTCTCTCTCTCTCTCTCTCCACACACACACACACACACACAGAGGAAAGAAACCTGAATTTCTATTTCTAGGAATCCCACTGGGTCCAAACAATGCCCGGAGTATTCTAAGCAGAATAGATRTATTGACACTGGATTAGATTACTGTGTCTTGAGCCAATATCATCTCATCCCATGGCTAGAACTTACCAATGATCACTCAGATAGTAAGCAGAAGAGTTCAGATTTGGCTACAAACTGACATTATTGTACTTCTGTGTTAATTTTTTTGAAACCTAAAATCTTTTTCTTCCTTCATGTAATTTAGTGGCATTTTCAACACTGGACTTAGAATATTCCCTGACCTGACCAAAGTTCATTCCACCGATGTATTCTTTATACTGTAAGTAYATACAACATGCAGTGTCATATTTTTGTCATTGTCAAGAACTAGGGTGCAGCCATGGGGGGTGGGGMGTTTCAAACCCAAGTGAAGTAATTGTGTCAAGGAGGAAACGGGGATCAATCGTGACTACACTGGTAGAAGCAGCAAGGAAGAATTGAAAAACAGCCATGAGGGATTCATTATGTGGGTCAGCGGTGACTCTGACATGAATAGTTCTTGTGAAGTGACAGGAGCAGGAAAGTCAGTGGGAGCTTCTGCTGTGCCAATGTACAAGAGAGGATGGGAGGGGCTGAAGTAGAGTGATGATCACAAACTCTTGAGAACTTTTATTATTAAAGGGGACATAAATGTCCTGCTAGTTGAACCATATTGGTTGAAGAGATTTTATTTGAGAAGTGAGAGAAATATTATAGAATGTTTGCCAATGGGAATGATTGAATAGAAGGAAAAATTAATGATCACAATGATACTTTATTTTTCATAGTGTTTTAAACAGGTTTTCAAACACTTTCTCATGCATTACATTTGCTTTGCTCAACCACCTGATATGGCATAAAAGGAAGTTATGGTTTTTCTATTTGACAAATGAAGAAACTGAGGAATAGAAAACATAAGTGATTTTTGCCTGACTTGCTCCCATGGAGCAGTCAGAAATGACACTCAGACTACTTGTGTTCTTTTCCAAAACCTGTAACATATCATCTTACCTAATTGTATAGAAGTAAAAAGACACATGCAGAGGGAATTGCACAAGTTGASTTTGACTACAGAATCAGCAAAATGTGGARTGATAAGATCCAAACTCTTGGGGTTTTCTAGAAAAAAAAAAATTGGCCATACTTCTTTGCTGCAGAAAAAGCTCAGCTATTTTCTAGAAACTACACAGGTGTAGAAATTTTTTCCAGAATATCTGCCTGGCAGAGCTTTTCAAGTAAGAGGACATTTTAGCAATAGTCATGAAACAAAATCCATGGATTCCTTTCTCCCATGGAAAATTCTAGTGGCTCTGGACAAATGCTGCAAGTTCAGGAGAGGTTTGTGAAATCCATTTGYTTCCTTTGAGATAAGTAAATTGGGGACCTCAGCTCTCACCGAAGCTTGCTTGCTCACTACACACCCAGGGTTCTGAATTCAGGTCCTTCTCAGACAGCTCTTAACCACCTGATCTCTGAGCCACCAGTGGTTGAAAAGGGTCAATAAAACTTAACAGTAGGGGTTGGGGTTGTGGCTCAGTGGTAGAGCACTTGCCTAGCCTGTGTGAGGCACGGTGTCCGATTCTCAGCACTGCATATAAATAAATAAAATAAAGACCCATCAACATCTAAAAAAAACTTTAAAAAAAACAGTGAATAAGACTAAGCTGTGAGCTTATTTAATCTGCATATTATAACAAAAGTCCATTTCCAGGAAGAAAGCATTTTTTTTTCAAGTGTTCTTGTCCCTCTCTTTCAGTGAAATTATGGACAACCCTTACATGACTTCAATCCCTATAAATGCCTTTCAGGGACTGTGCAATGAAACCTTAACACTGTGAGTATTGCCAGTTTCACTCTTGCCAACAATTGAATTTTGTTCTGGGCCACTGTCATAATTTTATAGACCACCCAGAGCCATAATACCCTRTAATGTTTATATTCTACAAAGAGTTTCATGTAATTAAATAAGCATATTGCCTTGTGCCATGGTACACTGTAGATKATTATTTCCAAACAGGTTTAGAAAATAAAACAAGAGTATTTCTTATAGCAGTGGTTGGTTTTCTTTGTTTTTTATTTCTTTCTTTCTTTCTTTTTTCTGGGAAGGATCAATTGGGCTTYACAGATTACATGGCCTCAACTCTGCCTGTGTTCCACTAAAATTTTATTTCCAGAAAGAGATAGTGGACTAGATTAAGCCTGCAGTGGCATTGTATTCTGTATTCAAGTATCCCTATTTCACAGATTTGAATTTGCTATAGAGCAAATTTAAGTGACTTTCCCTAGGTCACTGAGTATGAGAGTGGCGACAAGCTCTGCAGTCACACTTTCGAAAACTCAGTAGTGGCAAACTTATTAAGCTCCCGTAGGTGATGCYATACATCATTCTTTGACCAGAGCTTGAATGGATTCTGCTCTGTAGCTGTTCAAAAGCAGATGCTTAATCTGGGATAGTCACAGAATGGCTCTAAAAGGAGAAGATCTAATAGAGGTATAAAAGATAAGTTAATTCTCTTTGTATTAGCCAGAAAGTAGAGCTGAGACCAYCTCTGCAGATCCCTTCTATTTTCAATGCCACTGCCCATGTTCAGGCCTGGTGTGGAGTTTTTGCCCAAATTGTCACCCAATCTCCCTGATTCTGCTCATGCTACGGTCTCTAGTTCTCTGYCAAATACAAATCAGATTCAAATGCTCCCCATAAAAACTTATCCAAGCTTCCACACAACTTTCTAAGGGGCTTTTTTCCAAGCCATTCAAATTTATCAATTTGGGATMTATGAACTATCTCCACTGTTGGAAATCTGTGCACAACGGAGCCTTTCAGCKAATCCTTCTCCTCACACTCCAGGGAAGAAGACTTTTGAAAAGACAAGATTCCTCTTCAGTTATGATTTCTTTTGACAGAACAGAAAAGACCTGGGCTCTTGTCCTGCTCAGCCCCAAACCTCAACACAACTTTCCTTCTTTGTGAGGGTTTCCATTGTATGATTTAGGGCCCATCACATCACGAGTTAAAACTCTATCATTCTCAACTTCTTTACAGAATGTTGTTACTCTCCCTTTTAGRCACCTATTTCCTAAGGACCTCATATCCCAAGCAGCCCTCTCAAATGAAAGCTGCTCACTGTCCCCACCCTGCACGAGGCCCATTTTATAARCATCTGAGCAGGGAACTGAATATTTCCTGAATACAGAGGTGGGRATGGCAGGGGTTGTCCATTATCTTTTTGTATGATCATTTCTACATTGAGGCAAAAGTCCTTTCTCCTTTGAAGCCCATTCTCAAAGAACTATAAAAATGAAAATAGGCACATCTAACAGTATAGTCTGTGCCTGTATTCCTGGTAGGATAGAGTGTGGCAAAATTTACAATCCTTTCTTCCTTCTTTCCTTCCTTCCTTCCTTCCTTCCTTCCTCTTTTCCTTTTTCAATGTCTACTTGTTCATGAAGTTTCATTTAATCTCTGTAATATAATGTAAACGAAGAACACTTTTAATGTTCAATGAGGTTTGGTGAAATAAAATGCATGATTTTCACAATCTTGTAAAAGAATGATAGTTCAGAAMGAAACTAAGTTATTCATTAGTACTTTCTCAGTCTCCGTACTGTGTCYCTGGGATATGTGTTATAGTCTTTGCCCAATAACTAGAATTAAACTCACTGTGTAATTATTTAAAACAAAGTAAATAACAAAACCATGAGATTATTTCTCAGTTCCCCWCAGCTATATAATATAAATGCAAATCTTAGGGTATTCCTTTTWATGTGATCATCTCATAAGTGTCCCTCATTGTGTTAGGTATAGAATGATTTGATCATCTTAGCAACCTTTTGATCGAGTATTATCATCTTATTTTTAAAGACATAGAAACTGAGGATGAGACAAGTTGAGAAATTCTCAGGATCACCCGGCTCCTAAGTGACAGAGCCAGGTCTGGTTCCACGTGTGAAGTCTCCTGTGGGCTTCTTAATGCATTACCAGAGTTTACATGGG